TTTTTCGTTTGAAGTATTTGTATATGACATTTATTCTTATTATATATACTCTGTCGTTTAACGGCAGGTTCTAGTACTAGTAAAACTTGAAAGATAATTTGAATTCACAAATGTTTAACCTACTGAATCATACGTAGCATTCAATATATGCATATGTGTAAAAGTCATTGAGACTAACCCGTGAATATATGCATATTGCACACCCGCTCACCCACTCCCAAATAATATTCGGTTAAAATACAATAATATGCAGTTTTAAGTTCTGATTAGATGTGTTATTTTTGAAGATAATTTTAAGAGCGAAGTTTATTTCGCATAAATACATATTTGTCCTTTTATTCTGTTTTTGAAATGTATATTATTTATCAAACCATATAATATTAAAGCATTTAAGTTGTAGTTAAATCCCTTCTAGGATCGGAATATTTAACAACCGGTTAAGTACAGTATATGTCTTGTGATTATTGCCTATTTAAGTCAATACATTACAAAAAAACCGGTTTAAAAATTTGCGCCTTATCTTAAAACATCATTTAGCTGAAAAGAAAAATAGAGAAAATTTTTAGTGAAACTTTCATTATTGTTCTAAAAATTCGTCGTATTTTACGCTAAATAATTGATGGAACTCCGATTAATTCAATCTATCATTTAATAAATGACTAACCTTAAATAATTTGTAAAATTGAAAGTAAATTATATGATTATTTTAAGAGTAGATGTCGGTGAAATTAATTTCACCAATTTCACAAAAATCAATGTCACTCCATATTTAAAGGGTTTGTACGTACTAACCCAAAAGATGGGCTGAGAACTAGGTCCGAATATCATTATAATGGTTCATAAAGATGCATTAGGAAAAACTTCAAATGCACATGAAATCAATGTTGTATCGATGGGTACAGGTATATTCTATATGATGAATGGCCTAACTAAAGATTTCTATTTTAGTAAACAATGCAAATAGAGTTTCATCAATGTGATAATCAATAATGTAAATTACATTTAACCTGTATGATGCACATTATTTCTCCCTTTTATAATACTCTATTGTTTGTGTAATTGCGTATTATTGCGTGAATCAACTTTTACATAGTAAATAACAATTGCGTCACGTGATTTTCGCGTCAAGTCTTTACAATATTTTAGAAAATTGAATATTTTATACCAAAATAAATCACCATAGATGCACATGTTATATTAATCTTATCTCCAACCTTATCTTTAATTCACACGAAACGCATCTCAATGAGTCCATATCAGAAGAGCACTCATGTTTTTTCGGCTAAAGCCGTTACCATATTATCTTATTATCCTGATGCTAACCCGTAGTTTTGGTAGGGTAAACTATCAGTTATTTATTATAGAGTTTAAACATACAGTATAGATAGGTATTATGTATTTTATTTACATGTTTTTATTTTTTTTATTATGTAAATATATAAAATATTTATTTATTTATTTACTATGTTTCTGAAAGTTATTTTTTAATATATACTTTAAAATAAAAAGCCAAATTATCGGATCACTATTTTAAATTTCCATATTATGAACCAAAACACAAATATGGCTTTATCAGCTAATCGTCATGCAGGGTGTAAAAAATTTTTGATCTGACTGTTACACAGTTTGCTGTTTTTATTATCCAATACCATTATAATGGATTTTATACAAAGAACAAAATCCAACGGCGTTCCAAAATATAAAAAATATAAAGAGTGTCTTTAAATCCTAATATAGTGAATGAAATTATGAACATAGATAATATCGGAATATTGCATTGACGCCTAAGTGTTAATGATAGTGTTAATGATAAACAATGTTAAAAATTTTTTAAAAATGTGACACTTTTTTTCTTTATAAAAGGAATTAATGACAAAAATGTTTTCATTCATTGCTCGTATTACAAATAATGGATGAGGCAACCAGACGAAAGTATTGTGGCCTTCTAATGTTCGACGTCTCCCCACCCTCCCTTTCTGACAAATCTATTAACAAAATAGATTCTTCGACACAACTTACGATCGATCATACTACCTCATTAGAAAATAGTAGTATTAGAACCCAAGATAATTTCGTTTTTACTTCTTTTTTAGAACCAATTAGAGTGCGACCACAAAGCCCTATAAAAAATAAACCAACCGTAAATAATGACGTCTTGGATTCAAATTCGTCGATAATGAATAACGATAAGGCGACAAACTTATCCAATTTTGAAAAACTGTCTCCAGAAGATAGAACTCCTCGCCCTCCCAATGCCTTCATTTTATACAGGCGTGCAAAACAACCCGAAGTCACTCGGGATCATGGAAATATTTCTAATTCAAAAATATCAAAAATATTAGCTACCCTTTGGCGAAATGAGGACGATGATGTGAAACATTATTGGCAAAAAATGGCTGACAGGAAAAAAATGGAACATATGCTTGCCCATCCTGGGTATGTATATCGACCAAAAAAACCCAGTGAAAATAAGAAAAAAAAAGATCGTCGTAAATTGAAGGCCACTACTCAGGAATGTGAAGAACCGTCAATTCCAACACCGGCTCCAAATCCTGTTGTTTCTCCTCAGGAATCGGAATCTATCATTCCGATGGACCCCACCTCCTTTCCTTATGAAGACCAATTTGAAAATTATTCGCAAATTACTCCCACAATTTTTCACGATATCGATCTTGGATATAATGTCTATAGCATCGATTATAACTATTATAATGATTATAATGATTATAATTTTATTGAAACCAATGGACTTCAATATTTGATCGATCAGAATGATCCTTTCTTTTATGAAAACAATATTTGTTAATGCTAAGTTTCAGTTTTTTTTCTTTTTTTCGTTCGTATAATTTTTCAATTTATCTTTTTTCGTTTGAAGTATTTGTATATGACATTTATTCTTATTATATATACTCTGTCGTTTAACGGCAGGTTCTAGTAC